ATTCTAATCACACAGAGGCTTTTCATAAAATTTAGCACAACAATCTTTATTCAATTTCTTTGACATAATTCTTAACCTTTCTCAACACATATTCCATATTTTTAAACATATTCACAAAGGAAAATATCACATGATAAGCATTTAGTACAAATATTGGACACATATCATTCCATACGACACATTTGGTATAGTCAATTCTAATATGATCAATTTGGGGACATACACCGATTGCACGAACACCACGGGATTTCGATTCTAAGAAGAAGGAGGTTTAGCCATACATACCTTGTTCAAGCTTTTCTTAAGTTACTACAACATTCCGAGAATTCTAACAATCCCAATCTATTTTGAGACATAACAAAATCGAACACAAATTAGGAAGATATTCATGGTTTTAGCTCATTTGAGCATTTTATCAAACACTAGTTGTGCATTTTGATTTTGAAGCTCTTCTACAAGATTTCCTACATTCCCCAACCCAATCTTTACTTATTTGTGTTCAACAATCTTCCCACAAACCTTACTTTTACATGCATGTATACATAATACTCTTACACCCAAGAATCATACCTCAATCACCCATCTTATACCTCAAACTCGAAATTAAAGTCTAGTGTATAGAACCTTACCTTTTAGATGAAGATCTTGTGTTTGGTTTCCTTGATTCTTGAAGATTGATGCAAGATTGAATGATTAAAATGTTAGGCTTCCTCCTTCTCTCTCTAATAATCTCTTACCTCTCTCTAAAACCCTTAGAAAATCGCCCTAAAATAAGCCCCAAAGCCTACTTATCAAAATGCAGTCGGGTTATGAAAATTGGGAAATCAAGCCTCTGAACTCGAGTCTGTAGTCGTAGAATGGGCTGCAGAACAGGTATATGGATTGCAAAATGGATTGCGAAATTGTTGCCCAGAACTGGGCTTCACAGGATAGGTCTGCGACCACTTTGCGGTCGCATAACCACTTCTGCGGTTGCAGAATGGTCGCAGAATGGCATTATGCCAGCCTTTGATTATTTGAACATAACCTTTTGTAGCAGTGTCGAAATGACGAATGATTTGAAGCGTTAGAAACTAGACTTGAAGATCATTCATTCGATAGGTTGTTAATCACATAATACCTTATATATATATGTAGATATGCTCGTCCAAAGTTTGGACTTGTGCGTACTCATTTAGAAATTTAGCCTATTATGTAATTTTCCAACTTGACTTAGACTTAGGCTTCTTCTTACACCCCATATTACTTAATATATAACTTATACACTTATTACCATATCCAATTTATATGAATCATACTAATTAGCACATAAAATATTATAGTTAGCCTACCTGGAACCACGAAATCTTAAGTTACTTAGCGAAATTTTTTGGGGACTTACATTCTCCCTCGCTTAGGATCATTCGTCCTCGAATGAGGAGTAGAGTCCGCCCCAAACACTTAACATAATATATCTCTTTTCTCACCAATCTCAAGTCCCTAAATTTTGACTAACTCCCAAATTTTTCAGAAATTTCGGCAGCGTCTCTTTTGCAACTGGGCCTTTCCACCTATTAGAGAACCAACAAAACTATCCTAACAACACATCCACAACTCGACAAGGAACCACAATGTATATATCAATAACATTAATCTCAGCATTACAAGCACTACATTATCATAATGATACCTGGACATGGGCTGCACATTTTTAAATCATAACACCAAGAGGCTACCTTTCAAATCAAAACCAATTGCTATACAATCAAGCAAAAATATTTTCTTTCCACAACACTCTCGGCATCAAGGTGGCCTCTTCGACTTACAGACTTCGCCATAACACATTCACGGAAACAATCTCAACTCCTAGACTTATCTAACAAGGATGACAAATAGATACCCCTCAAAAGCCAATTATCCATTAACTTCACCTTCAGTAGTTTCCACAGGGATTATACACAAAGTATCTCCAACTACCTTCCTAGACATAAGCACATGAAAACACGGGGTACACGTAGGACAATAATAAGGTATACACCATACTCATAGTTCGGCCTACTTGTTTCAAGATTCCACAAATCTCAAAGTGCATTACACCTACTTTACATTTATTAGCAATTCACATAGTATCTTCATGGAGAAAATCCTTAGAACAATTTGCTCACTTTCTTTACCTCTAAATATTGTTGATACCCAATTTTACCCTCATATTTTCAAATACTTTCAAAGTAGTATATTTGCATCATCATTTAGTTTATAAACCCATACAAGCATTTTTATAATTTTCCGTGATTTTAAAAGGCTTTAAATTGATTTATTTCTGTATTTTATTATATAAATATTTAGTAAGTATCCTTCAAATTATTTTATGATGATTTAGTCATCGAAACTTATTATTTATTTAACGTTATGAATGTTTCCGAAACCCATAAAATAATTTTTTTAGCTCTCTTCTCTCTCCTCAAAGGGGCGATCACTAGTGCACGCCGGCGACTGCCCTTCATGTCCTCCACGGCCGGCGGCCAGCCACCTCCTAAGGTTGGTCCGTCGTCTTCCTCCCCCACTCAGCCGTTACCAACCTCTAACCCTAATACAAACCCTAATCCACCTAAAACCTATGCAAATTTATTAAACCCTACTATCATAAATAAGCCCATGCAAACCCTAGCTACGCTACCATTGAAACCAGTTGAGTTCCTTCATGGAGAACCAGTCGTGAAGTGGAAGAAACAAGAAGTAAAGCAATCCATCGTACAACAACGACTTCAACTTGCAGTTCTTGGGAAATTTTCTATGGGAAGCCTGTTATTGGTGAATTACGTAAAGTGATTCCAATTCAATGTGAGATTAAGGGTCATTGTTCAGTTGGTTTGATTGAAGATAATCATGTGTTGATTAGGCTGTCATTATTGGAGGATTATGTTCATCTTCTGTTAAAACCAGCTTTTTATTTAAAGGCTCAATCAGACATGTGGCAGATGCGTTGTAAAAGATGGAATCCATGGTGGTCACTTGTTGAAGAGACTCCAATTGCCATAACTCGGATTAGCTTTCCAAAACTTCCTCCAAACTTCTTTGGTAAGGAATGTGTATTTTCATTAGCTCGTGCAATTGGTAATCCATTACATGTAGAATTAGAATCTCAAAATGGGACTAGACCTAGTTGTGCTAAGGTGAAGGTGGAAGTTGACTTGTTAGCTAAGTTCCCTCATCGCATTAAGATTGTGGAAGAAGCTGATGAATCTGGGCCAGAAGAGTTTAATTGGATTAGGATTAAGTATGATTATATGCCAAAATATTGCAAGCCTTGCAATAAACAAGGGCATAATGAGGCAAATTCTGGGTAATTCATCCTGAATTACACAAGAGATTTGAAGAATATGTTGATTATCAAGAGGAGAAGACATTTGTAGTAAGCACTGAAGCAATTGGTACAACTGCAAATTCAACAAAGGTTCTGTCAAGTGGAAAGGTGGTTGGTAAGCCTGCTACCAATCATACCAAGCAAGAATGGATACATGCAAGGAAGAACAAATACCAATGGGATAATATGGGTCACATTGTTGATAACAAACAAGGTAAGGAAGCTGACAAGGGTAGAGGGAAGGCCAAACTTGATGAAGTAGCAACCACGAACAAGTTTAATGAACTAGAGGTTGAGGAAGTTCATCAACCTACTCTACAAATTACTGAAGGCAAAGGTGAGGATCATATAAATGGTAAGAAGAAGGAACATGGGGAAAATCAATCCAAGAAAGGACAGGAGAAGGAAAAGGAAGGCAATACCGGAGTGTCAAGCCCCAATCTTAAGGCTTCTGGGATTAAGGCTGGGGAAGATGCTAATGCTAAGCCAGCTGGAGAAGGTAATCAATAGGAACTTAGTTAAGGATATTGCTCCTAGTGATCAGAAAGGGCTTATAATGAATCCACAATCGACTGGATTCATAGAAGGTTTGGAACTAGCAAAGAGGAGCTAAGGCAACTCAATGTGACTACAAACCAATCATGTCAAGATATTCCGTCTCAAACATTTGCAGATTCTGGGCAGCTTGAGGACCTTGATGGGGTAAATTCAACAAAGATTTTACGGAGTGATGCAATTGAGGTGGAGGATGATCAACTAGGCATGACAAAGACAATAGGAGACAAAGTGAGGGACAGCAGCCCACCCGGCGATAGACTGGCGATGCCAGGCCGAAAGCCAGGACCCCCAGGCGATAGGTTGGCGACGCCAGGCCAAGAGCCAAGTACCGCAGGCGATAAGCTGGCGACGCTAGGCCTAGCGCCAAGGTCACCTGATGAAGCAGCGACAGTAAACCCTATCCCTAGTGCAACTGGCAAGATTTTGCCCTATGTAGATGGTGTTCCGGTGTATGCATTGGAGAACAAACTTGATGATAATGTGAAGCTTAGGGATGATACATTAGGGTTAGACCAAAGCACAGGCAATGGAAAAGGTGGTGATATCAGTAGAACAGACATTTCTGAGCAGACTACCACAGTAATTCGTGGGCTAGGCAGTGTATACAAGCAGCAATTCAAAATGATGCAGGCTACTGCTTCTTCTATGTTGAATAGCAATGAAAAGGCTGATGAGCAGGCAATTGTTCCAAGAACATCTGGGGAAATAGAGAAAGTGCCTATGGAATATGACACTGATCAAATTATGCAGCTGCATCTTAATGTTCCACTGAAGACTCCACTACAACATTTACATGATTTATTTACACACAATGTGGCACCAATTGATGAAGAGTTAATGAGACAATATCCTATGGAGGATGAGGGAGATGATGAATCAACAGCAGAAAACTTCAAACAGGTGGCTAAGGATGTGTATCTATCACCTACAGCTAGTGCTAAAGGAGGTAAGAAACATAGAAGAATCAGAATAAAGAGCCACAACAACCTTCAAGAATTATTCCCAAGAGGGCAGCTTCTCTATTTAAATGATGATCAAAACATTAATGTGGAACATAAGATCTATCAATACACAACAGGCCTTTCCTAGGGTGATCAACATGAATAGGGAGCATAACTTTTGTGTAGTTGCATTGATGGAGCTTTTTCAAAAGAAGAGACTCATTGATAGCTATAGAAGAAGGTTGAATGTGGAGACTGCTTATGCAAATATTAATGGGAAAATATGGTTGTTCGTTGATACAACGGTGGAATGGGAATTAGTGGATTATACTGAGCAACAGGTGACTGTAAGAGTGTTTCAACATGACCTGAGGCAGCACATGATGATGTCATTTGTTTATGCAAAATGTTCAGCAATGGAGAGATTGGAATTGTGGGATCACTTGTATTACATAGCAAGTGATATGAAATTGCCATGGTTGGTTGGAGGGGATTTCAATGTGATATTACATGAAGATGAGAAAATAGGAGGACTAGCACTACACCTTCCTGAATATGTGGATTTTGCATTTTGTGTAAACTCTTGTGGTTTGTTTGAACAAGGATACAAAGGAAGTCCATTTACATGGTGGAATGGGAGATCAATGTTGTATGTATATTCAAAAGATTGGATAGGATCTTTGTGAATTTGCCATTTCAAAACAAGTTTTCAACTATTGAAGTTGAACATCTAATCAGAACTAGATCAGATCATGCACCATTGTTAATAACATGTGGGGAGCAGACCACCAATTTTGTCAAGCCTTTCAGGTTCTTGAACTTCTGGACTAAACATGCTACATTTATGGATGTGGTGAGGCAGAATTGGGAAGCTAATTTCATAGGGGATCCGTTTTTGATGTTCAAGCAGAAGCTCAAGAGGGTGAAGGCGGCATTGTCAAAATGGAGTAGGGAAACGTTTGGTGATATCTTCAAGCAGTTGGCTATTTTGGAGGATATTCTTCAAGGATTGGAATACTATGTGGAGCATGATCTTCACCCTCTTATATTGGAGGCTGATTCATTAGTGATGAAGAAAGTGATAGAAGGGGAATGGGATCCTCCTTGGGTAATTGCAAATAATGTGAAGAAAATTATAGTAGATGAAGGGCAACTTCAATGTGATCTTTCAACATCTGTTCAGAGAAGGCAACTCAGTGGCAGATTTGATAGCTAACATTGTGTTTTCTTTTGCAAGTACATCTGAGTTTCACAGGATTGGAATCTGCACATACCTGCGAGTTTCTTTTATGTCTCATTCTGTAAACTATTAAGGTCATTTCCAGTGGTATTAGCATGGTCACATAATAATTCTAGAGGTGCGTTGATAGTGTACAAGACCAATGTGATAAGCAGTTATTGGATGGTGCAATTTATTCTACTTCTAATATGCTAAAATGTTAAGGAAAAGGTTGAATCTGTTATGTGGAATTTCTTGAGATTGTTGAATCATTTCTCAGTGGTATTAGCATGTCTTCATGCTCAATCTGAGGATGGTTTAGCAATGTTTAAAATGATTTCTACATTAAAGGTTCAGGAAGAGAAGGATCCAAGCTTACAAAATCATCCAACACCCCAGGCCTAGCGGCGTCGAGATAAAGCCTGATGATACCCTACCAATAACCTGGTGTCGCCAGCTTAAAGCCAGCTCCGGCCTGGCTTTTGCCTTGCAAAGCCTGCTTAAAGCCAGCCCCAGCCTGGCTTTTGCCTTGCAAAGCCTGCCTAAAGCCAGCCCCAGCCTGGCTTTTGCCTTGTAAAGCCTGCCTTAAGCCAGCCCCAGCCTGGATAATATTGATGATCGACCACATAATTTATACTTGGATAGAGTCATTACACTGCCTATGGGGATCATATTGTAGAAACACTAATGATTGGAAGACTATGCTGGCTTTAATTCTATGGTGGAGATGTTTGGAATTCATTTTAGCTTATAGACTGCATACCCTGGCGCCTGGTGAGAGCTTGATAGGTGCTGCTTGGTATTTGCCACTGCCAATTGGATTCACATACACTGACAGGAGAAGGAAGAATTCAGCGGACAATGTTGTAATAGCTAGTTCATTAGACTTTAGCTTTTCTGTTTTCTTAGTAGCTAGTAGCTTCATGCAACTTCTATTTTTGTTTGGACATCTTGTAAGCTTTGGACCCATTTTGAGATTTTATTTATATACTAGCCACTGCGCAGCCTGCCTAGTGGTATATTTGCTAAAAAAGAACTTATTAATTACACCAGCATGTATATTTAAATATTTTATTTCATTTCTCATAATTACATTTGCATTTTTAGGCTAATTGCACACTTTGCAATAGCAACCTATATTTATTAATAATTACATTATTTATACAAAAAATATCTTTTTATATTTTTATTATATTAAGTTAATTTTTTTAATCATTTTAGTGCACAGATGATATTTTTATCATTTATTAATTACTTTTATAAATTATTTTTTGATAAAATTTTGGGTATTTAAATAATAGCCCTTTCTAACCAATTTATCCACATTTGTGGACCAAATACCCAAACCTTAGCCCAGTCCACCATAGCCCAATCCAAACGACCCCTTAATCCCCACCCATTTCCAAACCCGACCCAAATCTCCTTACAACCTCAATCGTTGATCAAAAATGATCAACGGCTCAAAAAACCCCATCCCCTTCCCTTATATCTCCTCACCCTAACCCTAATCCCCATTCCCTAAAGACCGCCGCCTCTAATCTCTCTCTCTCTCTCACCTTTGAAGAACCCTAATCGCCGCGCTATACCAATCCCCTTCCTAATCCCTTTAGCCATGGGATTTACCTGTTATTTACTTACCATATCCGTGTTCCTTCTCTACTAGTTACTCATTTATGGTGTTACTTAGTTGCTTGCCTAACATGGCAAGCAAATCTCATCAAAATCAAACCAAATCGATTTAAATCCTTGATTTCTCTGATTATTCTGTCTATAATGTATTCTTTGTAAGTACGAATATTTTCTATATCTGTTGATGATTCTTACCTACCCTAAATTAGGGTATTTAGACCCCTTTCAATCGATCCCAAACAGGTTCGATTCTCTGATTTTAATTGATATTTCGTCTATGTTCATCCTATTCTGTGTGGTGTTTTGATTTTATTCTACCGATTTTACACTTTCCCTAAAATTAGGGTTTGAGACTTTTCCATTTTCCTTGCTGATTCTGATTGCATGTAATGAATCTTTCCTTTCTCGTGTTTGATTGATGTTTTTCCTTATTTAGATTTTAATTTCTACCACTATATAAACCCTTCCCCCATTCCCTTTAGAGAGAGACTTTTCTGAACTCGATATAGCTTCACTAAATTTGAAGCTTTACTCTGATTTGCATTCTATATTCCGATTTTGGGCGGCTGGAAGCCAAGGCCATTTCGTTCTGGGATCTTGCTACTCAGAATATTGTGGACTTTTGTTCTTTTGTGCATTTTCACTTAACTGGTGAGTCACTCGACTTCTTCAATTTCATTCTTACATGTTTATGATTTGCATGTGTTCTTACTTCTCAATCTATGGTTCAATACGCTTATGAGTTGTGTTAGGTATTGTTCTATCAACTTTACATGTTTTAGCCTCTTTAACACTTAACTGCTCCTAATGCTACCAGTTCTGAAGTTATCTATCCCTATCTTGGTTAATCTGGACATTCTTAAGGGTTTATTCTGTTAGTGTGTTAAACTCTTAAATGCTCATGAACATGTTTACTCACTTGTCTTGAATCCCTGCAATGAATGCCTTACATTTGTGCTAACCTGTGTTAAGACCTTCATTTGTTAGTCATAATTTACCTCCCTGCGATTGTGTCATTTAACATGATCACTCGACCCCATACCCCCCTCCTCAAGTGTTGTTTGTGATTTGGAACAGTTGTCTCATCATGTTTGAATGAGTACTTTCAGATGTTCGGCTAAACCTTTGATACAAATTGGATCATCTTTTGTTAATTAGACCACTATAACAATGCTTGAATGTCTATGCTTGCTACTTGACATGATTCTACCTTATATTATGAGTAATAGCTCGTATATGTGTCTTAATTTGTGATTGCAATCTAACCCCTTTGCTAACATGATATCCTAATCTTTCTATGATTATTTGACTCATCACAATGCTGTCATGTTTCCTTGGTAATAACAGTAGGTTGTGTACTTGGAATGATTCAACCATGTTTTAACATGTCTTGCACCTGTGTATAACAACCTAGTCAATCTTGCAAACATGTTATTTCTCAATTTTTCTTTTAGCATGTGACTGCTTCTGTGCTAAGTGTTTAACCTATTTCTCAGTTTACATTAAGCTTGTTCTTTTTTTAGTTTTGTGACTTAATCAACTGTTTGTCTGGTTTGCTCAATTTGGTTGTGTCTATTGTCACACCACCTTTTTCCTACACCTACCCCGAAGGAGTATATAGGGTGTAAAGGAGTTTTTCCAATTGAAGGACAGTCGGAACGAGATTTATTATTAATATTCAGAAACGCCACTTGGGATATTAATGGTGTCCCAAGTCACCGGTTGAATCCCGAACCGAGGAAATTATTGACTCTGTTAACAGTCCGCGAACCAGAAATCCGGACAAGGAATTCTGTTAACCCGGGAGAAGGTGTTAGGCATTCCCGGGTTCTGTGGTTCTAGCACGGTCGCTCAACTGTTGTATTTGATTTATCTGGTTTCAAAACATGTCCAAACTCATGTGCCTTTATTAGTAAACCGCTTTTATTATTTTTATTTTTAAAAGAATTGCAACATCGGGAAAATGTATCTCGAACCACGTCGCACCAGTGCACCCGTGATTGTTAACACATTTCGACTTCGTTGAGATTCGGATTTGGGTCACATAAATGTGCACCCGAATTTAGAAAACTAATATTATTAAAATACGCGCCTAAAGCAACTACACGTTATCATCTTTGGGGAAAACCGTGAAATTCGCTAAACGGCTCGTCCCGAAATCTATGTATTGTTATATAAACATTTATTGAGGGCCCCGCAATTTATGTATTTTGTTTGGCGAGGCTCATCTCATTTATTATTTAAAAGGCAAATCTAAAGCAACTACGATTTCTATTTCATTCGTCTCTAATAAGAAAAACCCTAATTCAACATTGTTTAAGAATTATTATACTTGGTTTCATGAACTCACATGAATTCAGATCCTTAATCATTTTGGGCCTTGAACACAACCCATATAAAGAAATCATTATCCCAAGTGTGCACAAAGGGCAGGCCAACCGTGGGCCTGAAAGCTGCAGGCGGCCATTTGGGCTTGGCGTTCGAGCCCAGTAAGACAAATCCCCATGTCAACCTATAGTCCAAATTAGCTGATTCACAGACGCTTTGAGGTTCAAATCCGTTTAGTTATGAAAATTCAATCACGATTCAATTAAACAATGCAATTTGTTATTCAAGCTATTTGCGTGTTTTTATTTTTTGATTTCTTTATCAAAGCCATGAATGATTGTTTTTTAGAACTCAAGCTTCATTGCTTGCAACGATCAATGAATCCAAAATTCAATTACAGCATGCAAACTAACTTACACCCTGAATTTATACTCAAGTACATGCAACCAAAACTGCATTCAATTTTCTGTTTTAAGTATTATCTCAAGTACATACTCAATCACATATGAGGACCTAGAGTCCATTTCTATGCTAATGCCATTGCCAATATTAACAATTCACATAGTTACTGAACACCAATTTCCCGGGTTAATTAATAGTCTAATACAAAATGATAGTCAAAAACAGTCCACTTGTTACAAACGACACAAAATTTCCTGTAAACGTGACTGTTTCGCACTTTAACACCAAACAAAAACAGATAAATTCAGAAATCAACTCCAGCACTTCATAATTTAATCTCCAAATAAAAACTACATGGATCCATCACAGTACAGACGAGGCCAAGGATAATACCTGGAAATTGAAATGTAATAAGAAAAGGAGAGGTCAGCAGCAGCCAAGGACAAGCAGCAATGTTAACAGCAACAACAAAAGCAATTCTAGAACCGAAACAGCCTCATAGACCCAGCTATGAACCCAGTGATTAACACATCCAATGCACAGTCAATATAACCAGCTCGAACAGATCATATTCACTTTGAAACTGACTCAAAAACCTTCAAAACACGATTACAGAATACCAGCAAGAATTGTAAACC